ATCAAATAAAACTGGTTCTTGACTAACAACACCCAAACGAGAACGAAACCATTGAAGATTTAATTTTCGAATATTAACACCATCAAGAAGCTAGTTTATATTAATATCGTCTATATAAGTAATTGAATTATATATATAGAAAAGAGATACATACCAATTCTCCATGTGAAACATCATAAAATCGTTCTAATAACTGAACGATTGTTGATTTTCCACATCCGGATGCACCTAAATCAATTATATTATATGATTAATAAACTAGAAGATTTAATTTATTTGAACATACCAACTAGAGCTATACGTTGACCTGATTTAATAGATAATTGAAGTTTATTAAGAACAAGAACTGCTGGACGACTTGGATAAACAAATTTAACTTGATTAAAGTCTGTTTCTCCACTAAAATTAGTCTAAATAATTCAAAATTAACGTATATGATAGGAAGACAATAGTTTTTTTTCTGTTACCAATTCTTGTCCTTTATTAGATCCATTATCAATAGTTGGTGTTCGATCAAATAAATCAAAAAATGCGTGAGCAGCAGCGAATGATTTACCAATACGTTCGGCTCTGAAATGATGAACAATAAAAACAAAAACAAAAAAACATAAATTTTATATCTTACAACATTCCAACCATTTTTAGTGCTTCTAATGCGAACATTCCAAAAGCAGATATCCTATGAAAATAAAAATAAATCATAAACCTTAATTTAAAGATAATCAAAGTTATTGTTTTAGTTACATAACAACATCGCTCATATCCATTTCATTTTTTTCAACAAGAACCAAAGCACGCCAATACAAAAGTCCCAAAGTTACTGAGTCCATCGCCCAGTACAATCCAAGTACTATTGAGAACATTGCCTCAGGTTTCCAAAACATTCTATACAAAAGAAAATTTATTGAAGATTGAAGTCAATATTTGTAAAAAGGAGAGCTATATTCGATTTTATTAGTTCATTATCGATATAGAAGAGTATATTTTTTGACAAAATTAATCAAAATTATTAAGAATACTCAATGAAGCAACTACAGTATCAAATTTCACTCAAGTTTCGATTTTACTATTGTTTTCTCAGTTAGTTTTTACGATTTTTCATTACTATATAGAAAAAAGCTCTTTTTCAAAATATAATTATAAATTCTCATAGAATCTAAAACTTTCAACCACTTTTCATCTTTTCATCTTTTCATTTTGTCTTCAATTTTTATCTTATGCAATATATAAACAGAATGCAAGATGATAGATAATTTCTAGCTCTATTAAAACAAACTGTTACTAATCTTTCATAAAGAACTTCTTTCATAATAATGAAGAATCTTAAAAAAATTAACTAAGAAAACGATGACAAAAAGACTAACATTAATACTTGATCAACCATATTCGTATATTGTCGTGAAACTTCATGTTCCATTGATAACTGTTTTACTGTACGCATATTAGTTATAACTTCAACAGCAAGCTAAAAAAGACAAAACATAAAATGAATATTTAATAATCATTTCGTCAAATAATATATATAATAACATAATTCTGTTATGTATTAAAAGATTATGAATAACAAGATGATTTTACCGTGCTAGCTTGAGAGTAAATGAGATCCGATTGTGTTTTTAACCATGAACTCAACCGTATTTGGATAATACTGATGATCAACAGGAGAACGAAAGGAATAGCTATGATTATTGTTAATTGCCAGTTGAAAAAAAGGCCAAGTACGAAGCCAAAAATAGACAGGGATAAAGTTTCACAAATAACACCTAATCTTGTACCAACCATGTCTTCAATAGCAGCTGCATTAGAGGAGAGGTGAGTACATATAGCACCAGAACCGTTTTCAGGTCGATCGAAATAAGCGACTTCTTGACGAAGAAAACATGCAAAAGCTTTTGAACGAATGCGACTAACTAATTTCGCTCCTGCGACTCCAAAAGCCACAAACTATAAACGAACATGAAACAACTCATTGATATGGTTTAGAAATAATATAGTTACTTGAAAAAAATGAAGAACCAGAAAAACAGCGCCAGTAATAAGAAATAAACCACTTGTAATCATCACTCGACGACGTACATCATCGTATTTACAATCATTAAATTCCTAAATAAAAGAAACATTCGACAGAAAAAGACACATATTTTATCTTTTCTTAGGATATTTATATAAATAAAATCACTCACATTGATTATTGTTGCAAATAGAATCGAGAACACTGGTCCACGTAATCCACCAAGTAAGCATGCTAAACAACCAATCAAGATAAACATCCATTCAGGACTATTCATCTTCATAAGTCTTAGAAGGACAGATTTTTCTCTTGCTGCTGTCGAAGCTCTCTAAAAATTTATACATTAATAATAATTTTTTTAAAGTTATTAGATATTTATTTTTACCCGATTTGTATCAATTGTTTCGCTCTCACTCAATTGACGAACACGTTCCACTATTCCAAATAACAAAACAGAATGATGTTTATAAAATTTAATAATTATTAATATTAAAATAGTAACATACATAGTTGTTCTTCATCTTCAGCTATTGCTTTTGCCATATTCATTAAGCCATCTTGTGTACCAATCGTTTTTTCAGATTGTTGCATTTTGATCATTGTTTGATATTTACCTCCTTCTTTTGCCAATAATGTTTCATGTGTACCTTCTTCAATCACACTTCCTTTATCTAATACATAGATATAATCAGCATTTTGAATTGTAGTTAAACGATGAGCAATAACAATAGTTGTACGATCTATATATTATTAATAATAATAATATAATCAATAGTAATTAAGTAATTTTTACTTTTGCATGCTCGATCAAGTGCTTCTTGAACAATTTTTTCACTAACATTATCAAGTGCACTTGTTGCTTCATCTAATAAAAGAATGTTGGGTTGTTTGACAAGTGCACGAGCTAATGCAATACGTTGTTTTTCACCACCACTCAATTGTATACCACGTTCACCAACAAGTGTTTCATATTTCTATAAATATAAATAATAATACATAGAGATGAAAAGAACTAATTAAACACAAACATTTGGTAGTTTCATAATGAAATTATGTGCATTAGCTTGTTCTGCTGCATGTTCAATCTCTGCACGTGTTGCATTCATTTTACCAAAACGAATATTTTCATAAATACTTATTCCAAATAAAATCTATTTCAATATATAAAAATTCGATAGAGACTAAAAACGAAAATAAAAGAAACCTACAGGTTCTTGACTAACAACTCCAATATTCTGACGAAGTTGTTTGATTTTATAATTTGTAATTGATTGACCATCAATCATGATTCTACCTGAGGAAGGTTCATAATAGCGAAGAAGAAGTGATACACATGTACTTTTTCCTATCAATCAATTTCAATATTAAAATATTATGTTTGTTTTAGAAAAAAAATATTTACCACAACCACTTGAACCTACAAGAGCAGTTGTTTGATTAGCACGAGCAATCAATTTAAGATTATTCAAAGCTGTTGCATTTTCTCTTGATGGATAACTAAAACTAACATTGTCAAATTCAATATCACCATTGATATTAGAAATAGATCTTTCATCAGATATGTTCTCTTCCAATATTTCTCTTTCGTTGATATTTGCATCATGTGCCTATATCATAAAAAATATAATTACCAAGATTTAGTCGCTACAGTATTTAATTGATTTTACCTCATCAATAAGTCGAAATACGGTTACTGCTGCGCCTTGAGCTTCCGAAATTGATTGAAAAAAAGGTCCAATTCCAGTAAGATAACCTAAAGCTTGTGCAAACATATTCACAACCTAAATGAAAGTTCATTTTTCAGTTACTTTCTTGCATATTGATGTTATAGCTCACTTACAACAAGAATCTCACTAATGGTCAGTGTACGATGATTTCCATAAGCCATAAGAATAGAACCAAAAGTGAAACCAATTGAATAAACTGCAAAGTTTATAAAAAGTAACCAACCAAAAAAAGCACCAAATGCAGCATCTTTGCGAACAGTATACCATTCATTTAATTTTAGTTCTTTTTCATATCTAGACATAATAAACTATAAATTTTTGTTTATTTATTTATTTATTTACTGTTTTTGTTGGGATTTGCTTCCATTGAATGAAAGAACAGTTCTTAATGAACTAAATACTTCTTGAGCGATTTGTCCAGCTTTTGAGTATGTACTTAATTGCGCTTCTGTTTCTTTAGTGATAACCTGTAATTACTGATAAAACTTTAGCAAATTAAATAATAATTTTTACCTTTCCAAATATCAATGAACTACCAACGAGAAGTGGAATCAGACAAGACATAATTAAAGACAATTGCCAATTGAGAACAAAAGACATGATTATACTGAGAATCATGAGTGAAATAAGTCCAATTACTATTAAAAATTCAAAACCCATCCCGTTTTTGATTTTTTCAATATTACTGTAAAGAAAATCGATCATAGATAATTGTTTGTTATAAAGTTATTATATTTACTTACGTAAAAAGCTTCGTATTGTATTGAGTAGTTTGATTTGTATCCAAGTAAGTCATGTTCTAAAGAATGAAAGAGAAATAATATATTATTTTACCTTAGATCATAATGTAATTGATATATTAACCATGTTTTTAGAATTATTAGTCTGTTGATTAGAAAAATATTTTTGAAAAAAAAATTAGAAATCGAGGCCAAAATGATCTACTTAGTTTTGTTTTATGCTTGGCACGGAGCAAGAGAAATAAATAGAATAAACTGTATTCTAACTGGTTTAATCGGTTATACTCATTTATTTTAGTTACTCCTTAATAAATCAGATTTGTCCTAAATTTAAGTCATCTAGGAGAAATTCGATACTATTCAATTTTGACTTATGATCACGAATTATGAAGTATTTGATGAGTATGAAAAAATTATTATTACTTACACGTTGAATAAGTGATTGAAAGAGTAAAACACTCATACGAGATGTTTGTCGTTTCGTAGCAACCATCCAACAGAAATATTCAAGAGAACAAATTAGAAATGCGAAAATACTGAGACCTACATTGATATAGAGAAATAACAAATCGTTTGTTTTTTTAACTAAAATCATCATATTCAACAAACTTACCAAAGAACCAGTAAATTAGATGCATAACATTGTCATGAAATAAAGGTGTCAATGGAGCTAGTGTGGATGAAATAGTTTTATTATCATAATGGCATAGTCTACGAATGAAAAATTTGAAAAGATTCAAAATAAGAATATTTTATAGTAAATTACTTATGTAGTCGATCATAATTTAATGGATTAAGATCAATACCAAGAGGACATACTGTATTATTGATAATTGTAGATGCTAAATTTTGATATTGATTATCACAATCAACAGCAAATGATGTAGTGGCAAATAATCCCGTGATTCGACCAAAAAGAATTATATTCGCGAGAGCACAAACTCCATGCATTAATGCGCAAAACACAGCAACAATCATAAGAAAAATATCAATACGATCAGCAAATCGAAACTATCATTAAATGAAATAAATGAATTCATATATATTGAAAAGAAAAACAAGATGCATTCAGCTTAGTATTTTTATTACTTTCTCTTATGATATTTTATGTTTGAATATAATACTTACCAATTGTAAAACACCGACCGGAATATCTTTAGTAGTTTGGTTGATCTCATCATCTAACTTTTTATTCTTAGCATCAGTCTTTTGCTGTTTGAAATATTGACGCCACTCAGAAAAACTATAAATAATAATGAGTTCTTATGTGTTTATCAATATTATATTTTTTTAAAAATCATACCTTTTGTTTTCATTGTCGCTATCATTGTCATCAAGTAGTTTGTTATGTTTCTTTAATAATGGCTCCTTATCACTCATATTCTTCTTTTTTTTTCAAACACAAATTATTATGAAGCATGAAGCTTATTATGGGTCTATATGTATTAGTATAAAGAATGATTGAATATTCTTTGCTTCACTGATTTTGCGTTCTGTACCTATTTTATCTGTTTTCTCTTATATTATCAAAAAACGTGGGCAACACTATGTAAAAGGCAGAAATTTTAGATATTTTTTCATAGATGCAAATCTAATTAATATTTTCTTCGTACCTGCCGCGTAGGAGTAATAGGTTCTCATTAAAGACTCAGAGATAGTAAATTTAATGATTGATAAAGACTAAAAATAAATGAGAATATCATATGTAAAAAGACGTTCAAATCTAATTCTAAAGCATTTATAAATAAAAAAAATAAATTATCGATTACTTTTAATCTCTATAAAAATTAGAATTTTATTAACCGTAAAGAAAACAACAAAATAAATTAAAGAGGTATGAGAAGTCGAAATCATCAATCCAGTTCTACAATAAAATTTATACATATATATTTATAATAGATACAATTTTCTTTTAAGATTATCATTCATTTTCAAATAGTTTCATAATACCAATGATATTTTCTATCAGACTAGATATAATATTCATTAATAATATGATTTTTTATTTACCATACTCTTCCTTTGTTTAAAAACAAGTTAGCGTTCGAAATGCATTGTATTTCTTCATCAAATATTTTTTTACTATACCTAATATTCGATATATTTATATATATATATTATAAAGACACATTGTCTTTGTTTTTCGCTTGTTAAACATTGCCTGTATTATTATGAAACGACTAACAAAGACAATGTCTCTTTATAATATGTATATATAAATGTGTAATAAAGAAATACAGCGCATTTCGAAAGCTAATTTGTTTTTAAATAAATAAATAAAGGAAGAGTATGGAAAATAAATGTCAATTAACCTTCCTCAACCGAAAAGAATAGTCATATGATTTTTATTTACAAATCAATATTATACATAAATAATTGCTTCAACCTTCATTATGACATCGAGTTAGAAATATATTTATGTAACAAAAACTAAAATTTATACTATTATTCATGTTAAAGGAATGTAATTATAGATTGGTTATAACTCATGAATCTTTAAAATAACGAATTTCTTAAGCATATTAGATATTTTTAAATAAATGAATGAAATTAGAAACGAATAATAGGAAAACAATGACTTAATATTTGTCGGATACTTGATTTAATTCAGTTCCGTTGGTTTTTATCAAGTAACTTGTTGCATTTAGATAACAAAAATAAAGAGAATAATTTATTTCTTTTGATTTTCCTGGTTGAATCGAATGGAAAACATCGAATAATACATATGATTTAATGGTACAAATGAAACGTTTTGACGGCTGTATTCTATTCTCCTATTAAAGAGCAATTGTGTGACCTCAAGCAAAAATGCGTCGATCACATTGCTTTCATTAAAGTATATCCCTATAACCTATACAAAGAAAATAGTTGATTTATGTGTACTTATTACTGTCAAAATTATTGATTAAAATCGTATGAAAATAATTGATTATTTCGTGACTATCTCCCAAAATCTTCTCTACATAGGAAAAACACACAAAACAATAGCACAGAGAATTTCTCAATCCATGTTTTCATTCATTCATAGAAGTTTAAAAGAACTCGAGAGAAATACCTATTCAAGTATATGTTTATATATAAATTATTTTTATTTTTTCTTTCCATTTCTCCTTGATATGTATGACCCGAGGGTCAAGTGAAACAAATTTCCTGATTGACTGTTTCAGTTATGAACGGCTCATTGATATAATCATATTTAGTACTCTACAATCGTATAAGAATTATCATAGAGAATCTTTGATTTATTTTAAACGTGTTTGATGTATGAAAAATAATATTTCTTTTCTTTATTTGCTGA